TCTGCTGCCTCCGTTGGAGAGAATCTTCAACTTGATGGGCGCCGACGTCTGGTCCTGGTACAGAGAGATGCCAAGAGTGGTGCAGAGCAACAGCCTTCATTTTGGACTTGCTGGGCCACCCCCTGCAGAGTCGAATGCCGTCAGAGGCAAGGATGCGGGCCTCAAAGCGTCATCGGACTTGCCAGTGGCTGGCAGAATGACGCTGACGGATCACTATCGATCCGATCACTGTCTCGTCTGCGGACACAAGACCGAGCAGGGTGAGGAACACGTCAAATTCTGTCTTTACGATGTCCGCGCAACCGCCCCCAATCTTAGTCCCCATGCTCACGCGCTTTCGCTTTCCCCGCTCCTCGAACGCCCAGGCGTGTGCATCGATTGTCGACAATCACCTCGCGACGCGCTCTCCATGCTCTTGACGGACGTATCGCGCAGCACGTGCCGTCTGATCAGCATCATGCGAGTATGCGCTTCGTGCGCCTCTACCACTGGTCAATGCTCCTCCTCCTCCGCATCCCCCGACACGTCCGCACACCCACAAAGCAGCAGCAGCAGGTACAACTTCCACAATCACAATATTCCTCCTCCTCCTCCTTGCCTGTCCGTCGATTGTCCGGTGCTGTACGAGCGCGTTGGAGCTAAAAGAAACTTGGATAGGGCTGCTAAAATTCAACAATACGTAGAGGTGGTGCTCGAACAGTGAAGGCTACCCTATCTCCCTTCGCTCCCAACCCCCGCAATCCTACACTGCTGTCTCGCCTTACCGAATGGTGTATAGTAGTCGAATCGCTTCTGCATTTGCATGCTGCTGTCACAATCTGCTCTTTTGTGAGGCTTCACGTCGTGTGCCTAGAGACGCATGGACCGCGGTGCAAGGCCACACGGGAAATCGACTGCTCTCTTGAGTATATGAGCAGGCACCACGGTCCGTGATCAACTTAATCTCTCGAGCCGGCATTTTAATTCAGGCACACGAGGCGGGCGGGGCGAGCGACCCGCCGGATAAGCGCCACGGTTCACACGGAAATGAAGCGGAGCTCAAACAAACATTGGGATTGATGCGTCCGTAACGGGGATGGCGCGGCTGCGCTGTGCGGAGATGCACATTAGGAGAGGATTGGAAATTTGTCGATTCGCAGACAAAAGGGACGCATATGGGCAAAAAGGCTTGAGTGTTGGCTGGTGTGAACCATGATCTGTGGGTTAGGCAAGTATGGAGGCGAAAAAAGAGACGAGGCGGATTTGCGTTCGGAGGGTGTTGGGCCTCACTTTGAAATGCGGAACGCGTGTTGATAACGACGATTGTCCATTGGGCGAGAGAGCTGCTGCCGGTAATGCGGCGCCCAGATGACCGTGACGAATGGCAAGGCTAGGTGCGCCTTGCTTAGTCAAAGTCGGGCTCGGGGACACCGGTGGGCGCAGAGCGAGCGTGTGCGTTCCTGCGGTAAGGCGTCTGGGTAGCAGCGCGGTTCTTGACGGAAGCGCGAGCAACGCAGTTGGAGGAAGCTCCGGGAGCGTGAGCTCCGGGTGTCTTGGCCTGGCCCTGGTAGAAGGTGGAGACGGAGCCGTTCTTCTTGGTGTAAACACCGGGGTAGCCGCCGTTTTCACCCTCGCAGTCGTCGAAACCGTCACCGTAGTTGCCTGGGTGGTTCCACATAGCTCCCATAACGTCGTAGATGTGCGGGCAGAGCTTCTTGGCGTCCTTTCCAGGAGTGCCGCTCAGGCAGGCACGGAAGGAGAACTCAGTGGCGGACATGAAGCTGGACCACTCCTTGGATTGGACCCACTGTCCCTCACGACCCTTGAAGTTGCGAGAGAAGACGAGACCTCCGGGAGGGTTACCAGCTCCGGTAGCACCGTGGGGGTCGAGCTCACCGCCCTCATCACCAGCGTCGATCTTCATGCTGGTGAAGTCACCAAAGCCAGTGACCTGAACGAAGGTGGGGGTCTTGAGGAAGTGTGCCTTCTTGATGGTGCCGTCGGGAATGAGACGGGTGCCGTAGCCGGAGCGAGTGCAGTAAGAGTACATCTTCTCCTCTTGAGCACCGACGGTTCCCTGCTTCTGGGGAGCTGTGTGTGATGATGGTGAACGCACGAGATTAGGAACCGTACAGGTGGCGACGCAACATCGCTAGCATACACTCACCCCAGAGACAGAAGTCAGAGACACTGTTGATGAAGATGTTCTGGCACTTGGACTTGGGGTTGGAAGCGCCGTACTGCTTGCACTGGTTGGTGCCGATTTGGCCCTGATGGTGAACGCGAAGGGTATGCGAGTCAGCACGAGCGATGCTGAAGATGTCTGTTGATCAGCGCTGAAGAGCCATCCATGTCGTCCACGAAACAGGCACGCCTGGCTTCGCGCAGGAAGCATGCCATGTGCAAAGCAGCGTAGATCACCTGCCCCCTTACGAGGGAGGGTTTGAAGGGAGCTTCAAGGAGCCATCGTCCCTCCTTCCATCGACTTCCAAGAAACTTTGACTCACCTCCTCCCACTTGTCTGGCAGGTTGCTGACGGAGAAGTTGGGCTTGTTCTGAGCCTCG